AAAAAAAAAAAAAAAGTTTAGAGACTGACCCTCTTCTTTATTGGGAGTCAAAAAGTATGTGGTTCTCTTTCCAAAAGAACTATTTCTAAAATTTTTAAAAATATACACAATGCTTAATAAACCACTACCTTGCCAAAATATATCTACTAATTCTTGAGCCCACCACTAAGCTAAATTACTACAAGCTGCTTCATTTAACATTATCTTTAAAGACAATCAGAAGCAGGCCGGGCATGGTGGCTCACACCTGTAATCCCAGCACTTTGGGAGGCCAAGGTGGATGGATCACCTGAGCTCAGGAGTTCGAGACTAGCCTGGCCAGTGAAACCCTGTATCTACTAAAAATACAAAAATGAGCCGGACATGGTGGCATGCACCTGTAATCACAGCTACTTGGGAGGCTGAGGCAGGAGAATCACTTGAACCTAGGAGGTGGAAGTTGCAGTGAGCCGAGATCACACCACTGCACTCACCTGGGCAATAGAGTGAGACTCTTGTCTCAAAAAAAAAAAGACAATCAGAAACTTCAGCACAAGGTATCTCTATGAGTGTAAGGCAAAATGAGATTTAAGATGCTTACAAAACCTGCTCTTATTTCATTTTCAGGTTCCTTAATTACTTGTTTTCAAAAATCAAATCTAAAAAAGTATTTTTTGCTGCATATACTAAGAGGCCTCAATCTGAAAAACTTGTGAAGTGAAAATGTAGATTTTTAAAAATATCTGTATGACAGTAACTAAAATACTTCAGAAAAGGCATGAGACTGATAATCTGTTATATGTTCTGTAATTCTCTACAATGTAGTAGGTAACACGCAAAGTGAATAGCAGAGCTGTTACCTTCCTGGCTTTTATGGTAGGGTGCTATATATCATCCAAACTTATACATTTCTGAGAAGAAAAGGTACACAATCATTAATTATATCTGGATAACAAGTATAAACTGAGAGTATGCCTAAACAACCTAGAATATAGATATCCTATTTAACAGTAACTTTGCCATCAAAGAATCTGGTTAACTTTAAAATATGTCAATAGACAATGCATATTCAGACAGAGTTTCAATTCTTCCTAAAGAAAGCAAGCAGAGTGAAAACTCAGGTTTTAATCCCTGTGCTAACCATTTCATGTTTCCAATCTTTAATAAAGTATCCTATTATGACCAGGAACATTCAAGAGAGTAATTTTTACCTAGGCAATTTCAAAGTGCCTTACTTAAACATTTTCTAAGTAATTTGAGAAACAGGGCTAAAAGTATTTGGACATACTTGTTGGGGTATTTGCGGAAGATGTCCCTGATGACAACAATTGCTTCTTGGACCACATAATTCACTTTGGTCTGGATTAGATCAAGCAATGTGCTTACACAGCGCTCTGCAGATTGCTGGGAAGAATACAAAAAATGAGAAGTCAGATGATCTATGCGATAACACCACCTCAACATAAAAATTTTGAAACATGCAGGTGCATCAACTAAAGATCAGGCACTTAATTGGACCAAGCTACACTAGAGGCTAGATACCAAGCTATATGATGCAGTTTCATTCATTATTTGAACGGATAGATGAATCAGTTCAAATGAATCCTTTGAATACAAACAAAAGGATGTTCCTCATGATGTATAAACATTTGAAAAACATTTATGTCAGGGATATTAATTTTCAAAGGAAATTATCATCTCAACCATACTGCCAAGGCCGGGTGGCATGGCGCATGCCTGTAATCCCAGCATTTTGGAAGGTCGAGGCGGGTGGATCACCTGCGGTCAGGAGTTTGCGACCAGCCTGACTAACATGGTGAAACCCTGTCTCTACTAAATACAAAAAAATTAGCCAGGCATGATGGCACATGCCTGTAGTCCAAGCTACTTGGGAGGCTGAGACAGGAGAATCGCTTGCACCTGGGAGGCGGAGGTTGCAGTGAACCAAGATCGAGCCATTATACTCCAGCCTGGGCAACAAGAGCGAAATTCCGTCTCAAAACAAACAAACAAAGGCCAGGTGCTGTGGCTCATGCCTGTAATCCCATCACTAGCACTTTGGGAGGCTCAGGCAGCTGGATCACGAGGTCAGGAGTTCAAGACCAGCCTGGCCAAGATGGTGAAACCCTGTCTCTACTAAAAATACACAAATTAGCCAGGTGTGGTGGCAGGTGCTTGTAATCCCAGCTACTTGGGAGGCTGAAGTAGAAAACTGCTTGAATCCAGGAGGCAGGGGTTGCAGTCAGCCGAGATCGCACCACTGCACTCCAGCCTGGTTGACAGAGCGAGACTCTGTCTCAAAAACAACAACAACAACAACAAAAAACTACCATTATAGCCAGGTGCAGTGGCTCATGCCTGTAATCCCAGCACTTTGCAGGGCGAGAGGTGGGTGCATCACCTGAAGTCAGGAGTTCCAGACCAGCTTGGCCAACATGGTGAAACCCCATCTCTACTAAAATTACAAAAATTAGCCAGGCGTGGTCACACATTCCTGTAATCCCAGCTACTTGGGATGCTGAGGCAGAAGAACTGCTCGAGCCCGGGAGACAGAGGTTGCAGTGAGCTGAGATCGTGCCACTGCACTACAGCCTGGCTGACAGGGCGAGACTACGCCCCCACCCCCACCAAAAAAAACTACCATGACAGTAGTATGGCAGAGGAGTAGGAGTGACATCCAATCACTGTATATACAAAAAGTCCAGAAACAGAGAAACACACACACCCATCTTGGACAGCCAGGAGATAGAAATAAGAAGAATAAGCCATCATAGGAGGAAAGAATAAGAATTAAAGAATAAGCCAAGGTAGAAGGTCTTTAACTGAAGTTCATGGATGAGTGGAGATAGTAGAGGGTGTCTTTAAACCTATTGAAATGAAATCGCCCAATTTTGTAGGAGCTGTCAAGCATATTTTCCAGTGAGTGGGTCTACAACTTCCATTACATTTTCAAAGTTACGCATGATCCAAAAAACTCCAAAGTACTGTAGTACTCGACAATTTACCAATTTTGGGGCTATGAAACTTAAAAGTCTATGGCATTAGATAAACAACAATTTTCCATAGCCTACAATTAATCTATAAAATGGAGTTTTATCTGTTAATCTTTTATTAATGAAGATAATATGAGAGAACACAAGTGAAAAAACAAATGTACAGAAACTATAAGTGATCATTTTTTAAAGAGAGAGATACCAGAACAGAGATCCTAAAAGTCAAGGACCAGCCTGTCATATATTACAATGCACTATAATGGGTCACCCCATTATGTGCCTCCTGATAAGATATAACAGGAAGTACAGCGAATCACCTAATAGGTATTCTTGCTAAAAATTCTGAACAAGAAAATTACCAAGCCTCCAGATTTAATTATCTAAAGAGGATGGAGGAATAGATAGAATAGCATCACTAAGATACAACCAGCCAAACCCAGACTCTGGGAAATTCTATAAGCCTAATGACCCAGTTCCTTCAATATCTGGCACCAAAATAAGTAAGTAAAAAGGCTTAAGAGACATATTATTCAAATGCAATGTGCAGACCTGAGATACGGTCTCACTCTGTTGCCCAGGCTGGAATGCAGTGGCATGATCTTGGCTCACTGCAACCTCTGTCTCCCAGGTTCAAGTGTTTCTCCTGCCTCAGCCTCCCGAGTAGCTGGGATTACAGGCGTGCACCACCACGCCTGGCTAATTTTTGTATTTTTAGTAGAGACAGGGTTTCACCGTGTTGGCCAGGCTGGTCTCGAACTCCTGGCCTCAAGTGATCCATCCGCCCACCTCGGCCTCCCAAAGTGCTAGCGTTACAGGTGTGAGCCACTGCGCCTAGCCTAGACCGTATTTAGATTTTCATTTGCACAAACAAATTGTAAAAAAGACGTTTTTACATAATTAGGGACAATTGAACATGGACTGAGTATTCAATAAAATTAATAATTATTGTTAGTTGCTGGGCATGGTAATGTGATAATATATTTTTTAAAGTATCTTGTCTCTTAGATATACACACTGGACTACTTGAGTAAGATGATATATGGGACTTGTATTAGCATCCCACCCACCTGAAGGAAGAGGAAGAGGGAGAAGATAAAACAGAAACAGTAACATCAGTATTTGTTCAAGATGGGTGATGACTACACAAGATCTCATTATTCAGTTTTACTTTATTGTATATCTGAAAATTTCTGTAATAAAATCTTTAGAAGTACTATAACAATCTAAACCACTATAAGCAATTTAATAAAAATAAAATTACACCTTGAGATCATTTATATGAAGTTATATATAGGATGGTTCTGTTGTACCATGAAATGATTCTGCAGCCTTTTTTTTTTTTTTTTTGAGACAGTCTCGCTCTGTCACCAGGCTGAGTGCAGTGGCGCAATCTCAGCTCACTGCAACCTCCGACTTCCTGGTTCAAGCGATTCTGTCTCAGCCTCCTGAGTAGCTGGGATTACAAGTATGGGCCACCAAGCCCAGCTAATTTTTGTATTTTTAGTACAGACAGGGTTTCATCACGTTGACCAGATAGTCTCAATCTCCTGACCTCGTGATCCACCCACCTCGGCCTCCCAAAGTGCTGGGATTACAGGTGTTAGCCACCGCGTCCGGCCGATTCTGCAGTCTTTTATGTAGTTTCGTCCTTCTTCTGATTCTATTTATGTTTTCTATTTTATTCATTTTCAGCTACTAACTCCTTTGCTGTTATTGCAACAGGAAAACAGTTGGAAAAATTTAAATATGCTGTATTTATTAATATTATAATTGTTATATTAATAAGTTATGTAGTATGTAGAATATGGGCCACTGTAAGCATTGAATTACCATAAATTAGTAATACAAGTAAGTGCTTAGCACAGTGTTTGATATAAAGTTCATATTTAGTAAATCCTTAGTATTATCATTAAAATGAATACAAATAAAAGGATGTTCTTCATGATGTATAACATTTGAAAAACATTTATGTCAGGGATATTAATTTTCAAAGAAAATTATCATCTCAATCATACTGCTTTTGATTAAAAAAAAAAAAAAACTACCATTAAAGCAGTATGGCAGAGGAACAGAAGTAAACATCCAATCATTGTATATACAAAAAGTCCAGAAACAGAAATACACATCCAAAATTCAGTATATGATAAAGACAACATTTCATAACAGTAAGGAAAGAACAATGTGTTCTGGTGTTTGATCCACTCTACTCATACCTTTCACTAAAATTATTTCCCGGTTGATTAGAATTACCCTTAAACATATAAAACAAGGGCTGGGCCCAGTGGCTCACACCTATAATCCTAGCATTTTGGAAGGCCAAGGCGGGTGGATCATGTGAGGTCAGGAGTTCGAGACCAGCATAGCCAACATGGTGAAACCCTGTTTCTACTAAAAATACAAAAATTAGCCAGGCATGGTGGCGCATGCCTGTAATCCCAGCTACTTGGGAGGCTGAGGCAGGAGAATCGTTTGAATCCGGGAGACGGAGGTTGTAGTGAGCTCAGATTGCGCCACTGCACTCCAGCTTGGGCGACAAGTCAAGACTCCATTTCCCCATCCACCCCCCAAAAAACATATAAGACAAAATCACTGCCATAGAAGTAAAAAAAAAAAAAAAAAAAGGTGAATTTTATATAACTTTAGGTGAAGCACAATTTTCTAAGTGTGCCACTGAGGAAAAAAACTGACTTGAGAAAAGCTGATACAAAAATCTAAACTTCTGTGAATCAAGAGAGCAAAAGAAATCTAAAGGACAACAAACTGAGAAAACAAATGCTAACTAAAAGAAGGGTTAACATCCCAATTACAAAAGACTTTAAAACAACAATGTGGAAAAGATAACATATCGGAAAAAGGTGCACAGGACATGAGTGAGCAAGTCCCAAATGGCTAATAAGCATAACTGTTATGAAAAAACGTTTACTTCAACTAGAGTTCAAAGATTTAGCTGCAAGGATACTCCTTATACCAACATTTGGAAAAAGAGTAGAAACAACTTTAAGGTCCTATAATAAGGGATAAAGTTACAAATTCAGTAAGTTATCAAGTAATCACACATTATGTCTATAGAAACTAAAGATGACATAAATTTTTCTTTATAACTTGGATCAATGTCCATGATAGAGCATGCCAAAAAAAAAAAAAAAAAAAAGAAAAAAAAAGTAGAGTATAAAACAAAGTAAATAAATAGCATTTGTGGAATGATTTCATTTTTATTAAAAAATACATCTTTGTATAGAACACTATATAAACAAGCATATAAAATGACATCTACCAGATCACGTCCACTGCATATCTGAGAAGGTGAAACAGAAGACGTGGGAGGTGGGGTACTCTATTTTTTGTTCAACTTGTTCTATAATTTTATATAGTAAACAAATATGGTTTTCCTAATAGGAAAAATGTATTTTTTGTCTTTAAGAATGACACACAAACCAGTATTTTATTCTAATATATAAAAATTAGAAATAGTAAACACAAAAAAAACAGAAGACTAGAAAGTGAAGAACTCCTGGTCTTAACCTAATGCCTTT